AGTATGCTCTGCGATAGATTCGCGCCATATGGATCTCTTCTGCCGTGTTTTCCTTGAGTTGAGCACCGCTGTTGACGAGTCTATTCACAAAAGCAGGATTGACGCCGATAAGTCGGATCGCTCGTATTCCACTCTCGTCGAGATCTTCCAATTGGTTTCGGAAAGTCAACCACGAAATTTCCGCGAGCCCCGTGGTCTGGACCGGAGTGAACAGATAGAATATGTGCATTTCACCATCCATAACGAACGCTTCGAGTGCCCGTCGCAATTCCGCGTGGATAAAAGTCCCATCCTCAGGGCCGAGACCAGATGCCACAACCGCGATTCCAAGCCTGGTTGGTTCAAGGCAACCATCGTATTCTCCTTCTTGAATCAATCCGTCCTGGAGTAATGCCTGCTTCGCCATTTCGACCATCTCAGCAACCTGCGAATGGCCAATGCTATGCCAAAGAAGTGATGAGCGAACGTATCCATCCAATGACGCTATGCTGGACGCCATACGGGTAGCAATGACCTCCAGAAGAGCTCTCTTGAACCCTCTCTTTTCAGGCGTCAGGCAGCTTTCGACCGGAGGCATTTCCGCCTCAAGTAATTCTGCCACAGCCTCAAGATCGGCCTTTTGACAGCAAAGGTAGGTCTCACCGACTTCATCCTTGCCTTTGCGGCCAGCACGTCCCCGCATCTGTCGAAGCATTGCAGGGCCGACCAGCTCTCGACCCATCCGAGCTCCATTCAATATTACTCTTCTTGCTGGAAGATTGATGCCCGCCGCGAGACTGCACGTCGCCACCATCACCCGTAGGATCCCTGCGTCATACGCTTCGCAAACCAGCTCTCGCTCTTCAGTTGTCAATCCGGCGTGATGAAAGCCGACTCCGCAAGGAACAGTCTTGGAAAAAGATGGCTCAAATCCCCCTGGCAGTGCACAGAGCGATGCCAGGAGATCTTGACGCCGTTCCAACTCTTCCCGGCTCAGGTGGTCTGTAGGTAACGCGTCGCTGATCAAGAGCGCTGTATTCTCTGCACCCATTCGACTGCCGCAAAATACCAGTGCCCCGTGACCAGCAAGGGCAGTCTCAACAGCCAAAGCTACAACTGCATTGGGAGTTGGACTTTGGAGTTCTTTATGGTTTGATCTAGCGATCGTCCGCTGAGGTTGTGGTCGTTGTGTTGGGACAGCATCGCCGGCCGCCAGCTGACTTGCTGTGCGAAAGAACTCTTTCGCATTTGCTGTTGGATAGATGGCATTCTCGTACACAAGATGTTCCTCGATGGGAATTGGACGGTACTTCGCGATGTAAAATTTTGCGTTCAGCCATTGTGCTAGCAATTGTGGATTTGGCAGGGTGCCGCTCATACCCACGATCTGAACGTTCTTCTCACCCCATGCAAGCGACATGAGCTTCGTGGCAAGAAGTTCCATAAGATATCCCCGGTGTTCGTCGCTGATCATATGAAGTTCATCCAGTACCACTACACCAATGTCACCATATTTGCCTTCTTCAATGGCGCTATTGACCAACGAATTGGCCTTCTCGATGGTGCAGACGGCGATGTCGCAGTCGGACCAGCTGATATTCGTTCTGCTCCCACCAAAGAATCCACTGACTCGCACAAATGGGGTTGGCTGGCGCCAGGTTGGTGTTGGCACACCATCGAGACTGTCGCAAACAACCTTGGGGACCTTGTCCACTAAGCTGCGGAGCCACCTCAACTTTTCTTGAACGAGAGCAACATAAGGGAGGACCAGGATCGCCTTTGCTATAGGATCTTCAATGACCCGCTTGATTAGTAGGATATCTGCGACCAACGACTTGCCCCCACCTGTGGGGGCTGTATAGACCAGGTTTTGTTCTCCGGTCAACAATCCCCGGCCCAATAGGCACGATGACTGCCAGGAGTATATGGCGCGCACCCCGAGTGATTCAAAGTTATCAACCAGCTTGGAAGGTAAACCATAACGAGCATGTCGAAGGCTGAGAAGCGGGTTTTGCGAGGGCCCTGGGGTAGATGACTTGAATGGAGGAATATGAATGGGTGTGGGGTTCGGGGCTGCTTTGCTGTCATCACTGTAGTCTGGACGAGTAATACAGCTAGCTTGTAGACGAGGGGCCTGGCAATTATGCCGGGAAAGAGGTGTGTCGATAGTCTGTGGCCGCGGAACTGATGATGAGCTCTGGACTGGAGGGCTTATCTGAACATCACGAACTGCATCGATGGTACGTTTGATCCCAGCCAGAGGTTTTGTGCCGTAGCTCTGATTGCGGGCGAGGTCAATCGAGGTAGCTTGACCCGTTGACAGGGTCGTTTGATGCCATGGTGGTGCCATCGGATATCGTGGGTGGGATCTGCGTGTCTACGAGTGAAGTGGACGCGACATATCGGTTCTTCCATTCGACAGGAGCGTCACGATCCTAGATGAGTTCAGACAGTGACTGATTCTAGCACACAGGATCAATCGTGATGACAGGGTTGATAGTAATGGTCGTCATTAGAATAGCAATAGATCTAGATTGTGCCAACCAAGGCAAGCCTATGCGTGAACCGCGTAAACAGGGAAAGAGGCGAGTCCTACAACGGAATAGTCCAAACTCTAAAGGTTCGGGTTAGTTGCCAGGTCCGAAAGCCACTTACCGCGGGAGCCGGGAACCCCCAGAACAGCACCGCACGCTGGCACCACACAGAAAAACGGTCTCTGACAGTCCGCAACCCCTCAACAATGCGTCAAGGGAAAATAGAGGGTGAGGAATCGAAATGACAGCCATTCAGTCATGTAATGCCATAGAACTGGGCAGCGAGCCTCTCTGCGACAAGTATGCGGCTGCGCTATGATGGCCGCAAATTTCAACACGGAATGAGTGTGATTGTTATCCCAACGGGGCAACAGGCGCTTGGAAGCGGTAGAGTTGGATTAATGAACAAGTATAGGTGGCTAAGTCGAAGGAGCTGGGTGCCAGGCTGGCATACTGATGATCATGTAGGGCGCAAGTGAGTGGTGAGTGGAGGTTCGGGGAGGCCCCGACTCGATTCTGCAGGCAAAACTATCCAGGCTTGCTACACCATGACCTTGAGGCAATAGGGTTGTCGAAAGCGATTGTAAAATAGCAAACTGACTGCGATCAACTCACTGGCAGCATTCATGGAGCCTTCAAGGACATGTTTGGATTTCTATGGCCATCCCAATCGTCGAGGGCATGATAGAGATGTGGTCAAAATTAAGAGAGGACAATCCTGGGTCAGGTGACGCCAAGGGGTCCTCGGGCACTAAGCAGCCGGGCTGTTTGATCGCCACCCACCGACCTCACTCTTCCCCTACCCTCTGGATGTACTGGGCCAGGAAATGCCACGACATGGAATAATTATTGAAGAGGTATGGAGGATGTGGCTGCGAGACAGATGCAAAGATATGACCACCACAGACTAAGAAATATATGGTGCAACCGACATGGATAGCTGCTGAATGAATTATTCTGTAGTGACCCCTAAGTCGCGCGGGTATATATGTGGTCCTTATAGGCGCATTTGGGGAAGAAATGAGAGCGAGAACAGTAATCATTTGTATGTGGTTGGGGAGAAGGCAAAACGAGCAAGATCATAGTACATCTTGGTGGCAGCAACTGGCCAGAGTCATGAGTAATGTCGTCAGCGTACCGAATCACGTTACGCGACCCTGCATGATTCGCTCAAGGTTTCCAACCTCAACTGCACTCCAGGAATTCTTTCTTCTCTCTTCGTCTGCTCTTTCATTTTTAGCGCTTCCTTGCCTTGCAGGTGATCCACATATTCCATGTCACTGATCCCACTTTTTCCAAAGCACATCTCGTGTGGCCCCCCTTCCTCCCTCGCCCTCCACACACTGGACACTGGGCCAGTCTCTGACCCTCTGATGGCTCATCTCACATCTCTTGTGTCTGGCCTATTCTCCATCGTGGGTTTTTTTGCCCGTCGCAGTGCCGTTTGTGTGTGCGTGTCTGTGTCCCTTTTCATGTCCGCCTTTTCCGTCGCCTCCCCCCAATTCTCGACAAGTACAACAATTCTTCAGACTCCCATCGTCCTGTTAATAACACGGCTCTTCCCCCTCCTGTCCTCCCTCCCAGTGATCCCAGCGCTCGCACTTGCTGCCGATGCTCCTTTATAAACAGCCACTCCAGTGGGTGTTTAGGCCCATTATGTCTTCCCGCAGGTTGGCTCTGACTCTCTTAGCTCATCTCTTCCGTCAACTTGACAGTATTAACCTCGCAATATCTCGGCATTGATCCGGCGTCCACTCAGACTCGCTTCCTCTCCCTTGTCACTCGTCCTCATACACTATCTTTCCGGACTAAGGCTCAAACCTTGTCGACTAGGCCGCATTTTTCCTTGCCTCTGCCGAGTGTCTGTCCTTCCCTTCAACCTCTTTCTCATCCATTATTCCTTTCTCGTTCTTCCTTCCCTCAGCCTCTTTCTCCCTTTCTATTCTACTCTTCTCGCTCTCCGCCCTCGACTCACCTAACCACTTTCCGACTGTATTTGGGCGGGATTGCTCTTCTTTGTGCTCCCCACCCCACCCCTTCCGCATATCTTCCCTTTTTGACTGCTGGATTTTTGCCGCGTCGACCTCCAGCCAACAAACCAGGCGCTAAGACCCGCACAACTGAGCATCCTGGCGCGTGCCTTGTCCGAGATATAGTCCATCATATCGCCCACTCCGCTGCCCAGGGCATCTTCCTCACTTCTTTGTTACGACTACCCCCTCAACCCTCGACTTTTGCTGACCTATCTTTTGTTTGTTTTCGGTCGCTGGGCAAACTCGCTACCAATATCGATCCCTCTGTAAAGTCTACCGCGAGAAACTATTACTCCATTCTGTTTGGTGCCGAGACGTCCCTCAGCTGCTTAGGTGCGTGGGAGTTGTCGTCGTTGCAGCCCTACCAAAGGCCCAACTCCTCCCCCGGTCGCCATGCGATAAAGTAGGGCTTACCGCACCTGGTCTTCCACCGCTCGCCGCCTCTCAACTCGTCATGTCGACAGTTGAGAGCCCTCCAATCGCGACAGCACCTCCAGGGCCCCAGTCCACCGAGCACTCAAACGCAGCAGCACATGCACAGAGTGATGCACCGTCGAGCGCACTCGGGAGAGGTAGTCAGAGTGTAGAAGTGTCGCCTGGACCCGAGACTGCACCCGCACCCACGCCCACACCAGCCCTTGACACGCCCCAATCTCAGCCTATGACTGCGACCGCGTCCACTTCCTCGTTACAACCACCACCCGAAAATGGCGACAATTCTACCTCCGGCCCTTATGGCACTCGCTCGAGAAATCGGACAGGAGGGAGTCGCCCAAACTACGCCGAGGATAGGGAATTGGATCTCGAAATAGAGGCATTGTCCAAACCGAGTCGTTCGAGTAAGCGATCTTCCGCCGCAGCGAGCGAACAACAACAGCCTTCGAGTACGAATTTTGCCTCCGTCAACAACATTCAGCTCGAAAAGCCCGCCGAAATCACTCCTGCGGCCAATGCATCCACACCCACGCCCGCTGCGGCTCCTGCGCCTTCGAAGAAAAGAAAACATCCCGGAAGTAGCCATACCGTGGCCGCAACCTCAACCATGGGAACCAATTCGCGCGCGAGACCCGTCGCCTCGGTCCCCTTCAAGGGCTATGTCGAAACAAACATGATGAGTTTCAAACGTTGTGGTTATAGGTTGAATGCAAAAAACCAACTGGTCGCCGACGATGGCACCGCCGTTCAAGCCAATGGTACTTCTGCTTCCCTAAATTCAAGTATCTCTTTTATCTTCTGTACTAATTCTTGACATATAGACCATGTCTACCTCATCTGCGAGCCTCCGGGAGAACCCTACTACCTTGCCCGAATCATGGAATTCCTACACGCGAAGAACGACCCCGAAGGTCCCATCGATGCCATCCGAGTCAATTGGTACTACCGCCCAAAAGACATTCTGCGACGAGTCCAAGATACGCGGGTTGTCTTTGCGTCGATGCACTCTGACACCTGTCCCCTCACCTCGATGCGCGGAAAGTGCAACATCCGCCATCTCTCAGAAATATCGAACATGGATGAATATCGTGGCCAGCAAGATTCGTTTTGGTTTGACAAACTGTATGATCGATACATGCACCGGTATTACGAGGTTATTCCAACCAGCAAGGTTGTCAATGTGCCTCAGCATGTCAAGACTGTTCTGGACCAACGCTGGAAATTCGTCTTGGTGGAAATTGGCCGCGGGCGTGAGCTCACCAGTGAGAGCAAAAAGTGTACAAAATGTGAACAGTTTGCCAGTAACCACGACTCGGTAGACTGTGCAGTTTGCAAGCGGACATACCACATGCAGTGCGTCCGGCCACCACTCTTGAAAAAGCCTGCTCGAGGCTTTGCCTGGGCCTGTGCCCATTGCAGCCGGGCACAGGAAATCAAGATGGACCACCGGAACACCCCCGCGGGCTCAGAAGCCGGCCATGGGGACGACGACGATCCCATGGATGAGGACGAAGATGATAATCAACCCAAGAGTCGGGGCACCCGTGAGAGCAGCATCGCACCCGAGCCTCATCCAGCGCCCACTAAGGAACAGATCGCCCAGGCCAATTTGTGGCCGTGGCGCTACCTGGGTGTTCATTCACGCGTGGAGGATGCACTGGACTATGACGACCGGATATATCCTCGAGCAAGTTCCAGGCTGGGTCCCCGCCACCAAGCCAACGTCAACGTGTGGCATGGGCGCCCAGTCGAATTGGTGAAGCCTGCGGAGATCAAACGGAAATACCTAAAACACGCCCACCACATCAAAGGTGGTAAAGGGTCGAAGGATACTGGGACCGATACCGATAGAGATCAGAAACTGAAACGCCCTAAGTGGGTGATTGACGAACCGATCGGCTATATCCCTCGAGGGCAAGATGAGCCGGTCGAAATCAAGGGCAAAAAGGAACATACAGCCCAACTGCTTTTCAAGATGCCAGAACCAGGAGAGTTGTCAGAAAGAGGCGGTGATGACGCCACAGAACCAATGGATGCAGAACATTTGGTGGATGACTACATGGCGAAGGTCAAACCAATTGCAGCCAAGTACAACCTGCTCGATTCATCTGTTGACTTTCTCACCAAAGCAATCGAGAAGCTCCAAGAGAATAACTACAATGTCGAGAAAGCGTTAAAGGCCATGGCGGAACTCAGCGTAAGGGGTGACTTGAAACAACCCGAGCTCTCCCGTGATGAAATCAAGCGGTTTGAAGAAGGTGTGGCTAAATATGGAAGTGAGCTTCATGCCGTTACTCGTCATGTTGGGAATGTCAAGGAATCTCGGATTGTACGCTTCTACTATATGTGGAAGAAGACCGACAGGGGCCGACAGATCTGGGGCAATTTCGAGGGGCGTCGTTCGAAGAAGGAATCTAAACGAGCGGACAAAGAGGGCAACGTGCCCAAACTCCTGGACGATGTTGCCGATGACCAGGATGATTCTGCCTTCGATGATGAGAAGGCAGTGCAAAAGAAACGAGGCTTTGTGTGCAAATTTTGTGGGACTCACCATTCACGACAATGGCGCCGTGCCCCGGGGGCCCCCCCTGGCACATTGGTACCCAAGGATCCCTCTGCGAAAAACAACAAAGACAAGAGTGGATGGCTCACTCTGGCGCTATGTGGCCGATGTGCCTATCTTTGGCGCAAATATGCCGTCCAGTACGAGGACATAGAGGAAATCTCAAAGAAGATCGCATCTTCAGGGAGCCGCGCAGCTAAACGGAAGGTGGATGAAGAACTCTTGCGTCTTATCCTTGAAGCGCATCAAATGTCGGGCGATCCCATTCCACCACGGGCTGTGGATGAGGTCAATAAGGCTGGCCTGGAAGTTCCGCAGAACATCATACAACCAGAGGAACCTCCTAAGAAGAAGGGCAAGCTCGACAAGGATGCCACACAATCCACTCCCGATGTCATACCCGAGAAGAAGAAGGCGCCTGAAAAGCCACCCGAACCCGCCGCGATCGAGCCGGATCCCCCAAGGGTCAAGGTTCACCCCTGTGCCGTATGTCGGGTTATCGACGCTCCTGGCCTCGAATTACTCAAGTGTCGTGATTGTAGGCTTCATGTACATGGCGCATGCTATGGGGTCGGGAAAAAGACAAACACCAAACCATGGTTCTGCGACATGTGCAGAAATGACCACAACTTGCAAGTCTCAACAACCTACGAATGCGTTCTCTGTCCTGTAAAGTACACAGCTCAGGAGCTGATGGAGCCTCTGAGATCGACCCATAAGAAGAAGAGCGATCGGGAACGTGAAAAGGAACGTATCGAACGAGAGATCATACAAGAAGCCAGCCGCAGGTGGCGGATGGAACAAGAAGCAGCAGGGCGTCCTGTCAACCCTCGTGAAGCTCTCAAGAGGACGGCTTGGAACAACTGGATTCACATCACTTGCGCCCTCTGGACTAAAGAGATTAAATTTGGCAACTCGGAACTGCTTGACGATGCAGAAGGTGTGGGTTTCATTCCTCCCGATCGATTTGAGCCGCCTTGCAAGCTATGCAAAGTACCTGGCATGCCTACGGTGAAATGTCACATGCCCAGTTGCAATGCCTACTTCCACGTCGGCTGCGCACATCAAGCAGAATACATTTTTGGCTTCGACGTGCAACCGGTCAAGAGCAGCAGACGCGACACGGCCAATATCATGAAATTGGGTTCGGAAACTGGTATTGTTACTGCGGCGATCTGGTGCCCGTCTCATGTTCCTACCACTTGGGTGCACAAGATGCTCGAACCGACAGATGCAGGGTTGACGGCCATGCAGTTGTTCGCCCGTACCTATAAGCAGGTGGACAATTCTGTTACCGGAACCGTCCGACGCGCTGCGCAATTTGCCACTAATTTTGCGAGCTCTGCGCCAGCGGTCCAGCCTCCTCAGCGGCGGGAAAGTATTGTCAACGGGACACCGAACGGCATCATCACTCATACCGAGAGAAATGGGGTTACAAGCCTTCGAGGATCGCCAGCACCCGCTGGCGCTACAGAGTCCCAGGTAGACTCAGACGCAGCACCAGCTGAAGTACCGGCAAATGAAAGCTCAAGGACACGAAGCAGCGGTCAGAGGAAATGCTGTTCTTGTTTGGTTGATGTCAGCCCTAGATGGTGGCCACTTCAACAAGAACGATCCCAAGCCCCTAACGGCACACCAATGGACTTCACGACAGACCAAGCTCACGTGAATGGTGCCCGAGATGCTGTTGTAACCAACGGCGCCATCAAAGCTGAACCGGCTGATGGCGCGACTTCCGCAGCAATCGCTGGCGGCAAGGACCGCACTATGTATCAGTGTCACAAGTGCCATGTCCTCAAGCGAACTCCCCCTTCGTCGCCGTCGCAAGTGAAGCTTCGTGAAAAGCCTGTCCCGCTCGATCCAACGCCACCAGAGCCATTCAAACGTCAGTCACCGTTCCCTCCTGCTCCTCCGAGTATCTATGGATTGAACAGACCGCCGATCGAAGGAGCACCGCATTCTCATCCTCACCCCCTTCCTGGTCCAGCATCCCATTATCCGCCGTGGCAGAGCGCTCCTCCCCCGCAATGGTCCTCGCCGGGAGTACGAGTAGCCCGTCACCCTTCTCCTCCAGCTCCGCCACTTTATGGTCAACCTTTGTACCGGCCGCCTCCCCCTCCACCTCCGGCAGCTCCACCGCCACCTACAGGTCCCGAATACAATCAATCGCCCTACGGTCGGCCAGCGCACCCCTCGCCATATACCAGCGTACCACCTCCCCCACCATCTGTTCCAGGTCTGGTGCCTCAGCATTCCCCGCCTCCTGCGCCTGCTTATGGTCATCACCCCCCACCGCCGCCTCCTCATCATTCTCATCATGCTCATCACACCATTCCACCTCCTACGGCTCCATCACAAGTGTCACGTCCTCCATCACCCCCACGATTCAGCTCCGACCGACCTCCTATTCCTCCACCTCACCTTGGACTAGGACCTTCGAGTCTATTGTCGCGGGGATACCCTGAACCAAGCCGTCAATCAACTCTCGATTCGCCTGTGAATGGATACGCGGCTCCTCATTCGACTGCTCCGAGAATGTTTGCCCAAGGTCCCCCACCCCCCGTGCCGCCTCCAGTCATGAGACAGTCCCCGTCAGCACAATCCCTGGCGCAAATTGCCCAGGCGGCCGGAGATCAGTCAGTGGGAAGACCACACTCTAGACAGGCGAGTGTTGAGATGACCAACACACCGCGGTTTGGACCTAGACCGGTCACCGGGAGCCCCCAACAAAGACCACTTACCCCCTCTGCGCCGCCTGCTTTCACCAGAGACGATAGGAGAGATAATCTGGGAGCGAGTGCGAGTCCAAGTGTGAAGAATCTGCTTTCATAGGAGGAAGAAGATAGCCATGAAAAGAAGAAAAAGAAGAGTGCCAGGAATAAAAAGGATGGGTGGTGGGGCGTTTTGATGAATCCCAACAACGATTGACGGACAAGTGTGTTTGATATTGATTTATTTGCGCGAAGCTCTCTGGACTGCTAGCAGGTTAACCATGGGTGCGTTAGGTGACCAGCGAGGGAAAAACTATGTTTCTTTCTTGTTTCTTGTCCAGAAAGTGGGTTTTCAAAATTGCATTGTATTATATACATACTCCCTGGCCCTGGCTGAGAAGCATACCAGGGGTTTTTTTTCCCCCTCGGAGGAGCTGCATAGCTCAGCTCTGCGAGGAGAGAGAAAAGCGTCTCGGATACCTATTGCGTTGCGTTGCAGCACAAGCACAAACAGAAAAGCAGAAGCAAGAGCAAATCCTAGCGTTTATTGTCCATGTCCAAACCACATTCATACAACACAACACAGCGCCAACACACGCTCCATCATGCATCATGCATGGTGTTTAGCGCCATACTCTCGCTGGAACTTTTGTCCGTGTTTGTTTGCTGTTTATTCAGTGCCTAACGGTGATGACTGTGACTATGCTATGGAAGACGAAAGACGAGGAATGAGAGAGGGTGAATAAGAAGAGTGGTGTCGAGGGCAGAAAACCCTCTAGAAGATAGATAGGAAGATGGAACAAATTCTACGCGAGAAAATGAGAATCTGATACTGAAAATGAAGCTTTTGGCCTTTTTTCTTTTTGAGAGGGTCAAATCTTGATTGATTGATCGAGTTGATACACCCAGTGGGAGTGTCTGGGTTGGATTCTCTGTTCTGATTCTCGTGGTCCATGCCAGTCTTTGCGGCCCACGCAAGACGCGATCGAGGTCGGAATACCTAGGTACCTAGCTCGCTAGATACATAAGTATCTCCAGGCCGAGTGAACTAATTCCAGTGACTTGGCTGCCATGTCACTGGCCCAGGGTGCTAGGTCACAGGTACAGGACTCGTAGCTCGCAGCGCTGTGATATCCACACAGATTGGGAGCATGGGAGTCAATGGGATCGTGCGAGATAGCCTGATATCCAATCCGCGCAGCGCCTTGCTGTCGCCGCAGAAAAGCAATCCAGTGCTGAGACATTGCTCTGGAGAACGCACATGCAGAGCGCGGCGTGAATATCGCATGTACTTTTCTGGCGACCCTGCACATGGCTGGCTTCTCCAATGCCGAAAATCAAGTAGCTTGATGCCTCCTTAGGGCATGAGGGTGACTCACACGACATTCTGGGGCGTACAGGCACCGTTCAGTCCCTGGTCAACCTAGAAACCGATGTCATCACTGCCCGGGCAAGATACCAATTGGCGGTGAGTACCATCGCGGTTATCATTCCTCATCTTCCTCGTCATCGTCGTCAATGACTCTCCGCTTCTTGCGGACTGCGGGATTTCCCACAGCCTGTCTGCTCTCTCCAATCTCACCATCTTCTTCACCCTCAGCGTCTTCGTCATCGTCTCGCGATGTCCGTTTGGGGGTCCGGTCTCGATCCCTGGCACCGCCACGAGTGCGATTTTCGATCACCGTCTCACGTCCCTCGATCTCCAAGTCATCCACATCCGGATCCTCGTCGGCTTCAGCTTCCTCCTCGGCCTCATCCTCATATATCTCAGGTTCCTCGTCGCTCGCAGCAAGGAAATCATCTTCGCGATCATATTCGTCTTCCCTGCCTCTCCGGCGGAATGTTTCCTCGTCTTCATCGTCCGAGTAGATGTCCCCGCGACGATTCGGCCTGCGTCGCTTAGTTGTCGCCTTCTTTCCTCTTGCAGTAGGCATGCCGTCATCGTCTTCCAGTCCGGCAATCGAGAGACCTGTACCGCCCATTGAACGACCAAGTCCAGATTTCCCCAACACCCGGTCCCTGCGCATGAACTGCCGGTCTTGAGCAGCCTCTCTGCGACGGTCCGCCCTAGCCCGCTCCTTTTCGAACATTTCGGCAGCCTTCTTTGCAAGTTCTGGGTCTTCCTTGACAGACTTGAAGGTGGTAGGAGATTCGTGCATTTGTGTCGTGGCAGCAATCGATTGTCGCAGTTTCATTTCCGCCTCGTCTGCCTGGTCGCCTGCGGGCTGGATCTTCATAGACGCGTCGAAAGGGGCGACGATCTGAAGATCTATTCCTGCCGCGGCGTGAGGTGCTGCCAAAAAGTGGTTTGTTTCTTTTGTAGGATCATAATCCTGGTGTTGCGATCCAGAAAGCTTCTTAGGCCAACCTTGTCGCATGGCGGTAGTGGAGATACGATAATGGTCTTGGGGTTTAGAGGCGATTTGCATAGTGAAGCTGCCATCCGACCAGCGAACTATGCGTGTGTTTGATTGTAGGAGTTCGGGATTTTTGGGATCGCGGCGCCAGAAAATGGAGGTGTTGGCCGTAGAGAACGGTGAGAATTTGATGGTAGAGTCTACCGTAGGATCACGGCCATCGTGGGGCCTGGTGGGCGGTTCGTAACTCGAGGGATCGAAGTTTCTGTGCTTGATACCTAGGAAATTCGGGATGTTCAGGAGGTACAATTCGTCTCCCTCAGGCGGTTTCACTCGCGCAATGTCCACATCCAAAAGTTTGAGTTGTTTTTCTTCACCATAGTCTCCCTCTTCGTTTTCGACGGTTGCGGCGAGTCGATCATTCCGGCCTTCATCATCACCGGAGTCGAGCTCTGAGTCGTCAAGTTTCCTATGGAGGCTGCTTACACGTTAGTGAGAGTTTCAAGAGGCCAATATGAGGACCATACTCATTCTGCTGCTCCGGCTCGTCGTCGTCGTCTCCAAATAAATCTCCGTCGCCGTCGGATGCGGGATTGCTGATGTGGTCTTGAACACTATCTTCCTCAACAGTACTGCCACGAGGAGCAGACTCAACCTCAGCAGACATTTCGGCTGCTAGCTGCGCGCTCTACACTTTCAAGCGCAGACACATAGAGGGTGAGCTAAAACCAGATCCGAATCGTTCTTTGGAAACTCATAGAGTCTTTGCGAAGAGAGCAGCACAGGATGTGATCGTCATTCAATGTCACAGTGTCAAAGACGAAGAAATGAAGTTGTTGGGTTGTGAATGGTCTTGTTCAAGACAATTGCAAGACGACAATTCGAGATCGGGAGAGTCCACAAAGGGCTAGCGTCAAACTCACGTGCCCCTCCCTCGGCTGAGTTGCGTTATGGGGAATTATTTGTTTCAATGAGAGGCTCCTTCTCGCTGTCGACGAGTCAGTTTGGTTACTCCTTTTCACCACTTCACCCCGTCGATGACAAGCGATTGCGTTGTGAACAGTTCAGAGTATTGTCCGACCCATTACGGTCTATTTCAACGTTATGGCGACCTTCTTTCAGAGTGTGTAAGTTTACCCCGCGTCTTCATGCTACCATGATTTTCATTTCACTTTCACCGCCGACACGAAGTGTCTCCATCTTGTCCTTGCGACCTCCTTCGCGCTCAAGATGGGTAAATTCAGATGGAAAATCTGTTTAAGAGGCCTCAAGCGGCCTATCAGTCCTACAAAGCATGCCGCAGTTGCTGACCCGTCTCCCAGTCGTCAAGGTTTCACTCGAGGCAACACCAAATCCAACCAAAATCTAAAGGCGCAGTACAACAACGGCCAATCCCAATCTCCGATCGCACAGCAAGCACAGCAAGCACCTCCCCTTCCTGCTCTGACCAATTCGCCATCTATCTCCTCCACCTTTAGTGAACAGAGTGGTTATATCGAGCAAGAGCCAAAGAAATTCCTGAATGAGAAATATGCCAAGTGCTCCGTCAAGGGGAACTTCCTCACGCTCGCTGCACAGCCGAAGAATGTCGAACTTGGAGAATGGCTGGCCCATCAATGTGGGTGAAAATCCAATTCTACAATCTTGATGAACACAGTCTCATTTCTTCCAGTGGTCGAGATGAACCGACTCCTCACTGGGATGATCCAGGTCATTCAGGAGGTTGACACCAACACGGGAGTTCCACTTTGCAATGAACAACAATGTCCTACAATGTCTGCTGGGCGGTATGTTTGAACCCTCATCAAGCAGCAAACGTTCATCGATTGACTCTTCCCAGTCTCACTTACACCTGGCTCGAAAATGGTCGGCCAGCCAAGATCCCTGCGCCCCAGTACATTGTCCGAGTCCAGCGCTGGATTGTTGGAAAAATCCATGACGAGAAAACCTTCCCTACCGCGCCTCCACCGACCGTGGACCAGACCTCGTACATGTCCGGTGACACTGGGACGATTACACCCTCGGGCACGACGCCAATTGCTGCGCCGCCTACCAATCTCAACCAATCCTTGACCTCTCTTGCTGGCAACCAAGACGAATGGATTGGCAAGTCATCAGGCTTCCCTCCACACTTCCACTCCGACGTCAAGGCTATCATCAAACAAATGTTCCGCTGCTATGCACACCTCTATCACTGTCACTTCACCGATCCCTTCTGGCACATTGGGCGTCATGCGGAATTGAACAGCTGCTTCGTCCACTTCTGCACGGTCGCAATGTACTACGACCTGATCAGCAAGAAAGATATGGAGCCATTGCAGGGACTTATTGATATATTTGTGGCGCAGGGCGTCATTCCCAAGGAAGCCGTGCAGCAGCATGTTTCCTAAGGGATTTGTGGAAACGATTGATCACTTTTGTAGCAATGAGATGGCGATGCGGCATTGTCCACGGCGCGTTATGAATGAACAGTTGATGCATTTAGCGATCTGGCGTCCGGCGAACGCAGACGAACATGGCAGTGAAGTTGCCGATGCAGAGTGCATATGAGCTTTGAATGAATGGCATTTCCTTCCCAGGGCAAGGCCCCTGGCTTGACGCGACAAAACTTTCTCCGAGTTTCATTTGTTGCTGATCTATCCCTTGCTACGCGTTGCTGACTTGATATTGGCAGGCACCGCAACAGCAATGCCGAATGGGTCAAGGATTGAATGGACAAAGTCAGCTGACTGATGAAATGTGCTCGGCGCCCTGGCGTATATTG